ATGCCTCAGCCTCAGAGCGCGTCACCACGCCCGGCCCAACCATTTTTAAGTGCAGTTCAGTAGTATTAAATACGTTCATAATGTTGTGCAACCATCACCAACATTCATCTCCAGAACTCTTCATAAGACTGAAATTCTGCCAGTGCCGCTGAAACGTGGGTACTCGTCACTCTTCATGTCCCCTTTCCCTAAGGCCCTGGGAGCCTCCCAGGGGTTTGACACCTCCAGGTACTCAGCCCGGCACTGACCGGCTCGGGTGGGCTGCAGCCAAAACCTGGGTGTCCTGAGTCCATTCAAGTTCCGGGAGGGACGGCAGCAGCGCGGGCCACTCCCACCGGTGGAAGGAGGAGGGCGGCGCGGGGACCCCGAGCAAGTCAGATCAGGGATTTCATCAGCTGCAGCAGCGCCCTCCGCCGCTAGGGTCCCCGCAACAGACAGCTGAGGGCTGCTTTTGTGGAATCCTCGCCTGCTCCCCCCAAGACGACTTTCGGCGTCCCAGCCAGGGGCGGCCAGCAGCTATCGGAAGGCCCTGCATAAACTGGCGCCTTCGCTTTCGCTCCGCACGCCACCCCCGTCCCACCTGCCCACTAGCCACGAGCCGGGCCCGGCGACGCCCCAAGTCGCCGGAGCGGCTCCCGCTGAAAGGCGGGCTTCGGGTACCAGCCCTCCGCGTCGAGCAAACGCCCCGGTCAAGGGCTGCGGCGGCGCTCGGTGCCACGTCGCCCCACCACACTCCTCAGCGGCCACCACCGCCGGGGCGGAGATGTTCGGGGAAGGACATCCCCCGGTGTCCCTCGGGGGCCCGGCATGCCCCTCGCCCTCCGTTCCCCTGGGCTTTCCGCGCTGACCGAGTTCCCTGACCCTCTTACCGAACTGCCGCGAGGTGGAAGGAGCGAGGGCGGAGGGAGCATCTCTGCGCAGACTGCAGCAGTCGGAAAGCCAACGCGGACATGAGCGAAGGCGCAGGCATAGCCCAAGCCAGTGACTGTGCCGGGAGCGAAGCGCGCGCGCGGGCCGTGCATTTATACCGCGGCCTCGTGGCAGGCTCTGCCTCCCTCCGCCACCCATTGGTCCCTGCCACACGCCACTGGCTGTCTGTTGAGGCTTCTGGAGCCGAAGGAGCCAACCGGTTTTCTTTATGAAACGTAAGCGAAGTCCCGAAGAGCCCTGCTTTTGATTGGAGCAAGAAGAGCCTGGAGCTAGGCCCACCTGCCTGACGCTGCTAGTATCACGGAAGCCCAGACAGCACGAGAAAAGTTCATTCATTCATTCGCTGAACAATTATCTGAGTGCCTAATGTGTGCCAAGCACTGTAAAGGGTGGATGAAAAGACAGGCTGATAGAATACCAACGAATAGAAGTAGAAGGAATTATGGAGTTAGAAAATCACCATTGGGCCGGGCGCGGTGGCTCACGCCTGTAATCCCAGCACTTTGGGAGGCCGAGGCGGGTGGATCACAAGGTCAAGAGATCGAGACCATCCTGGTCACCATGGTGAAACCCCGTCTCTACTAAAAATACAAAAAATTAGCTGGGCATGGTGGCGCGTGCCTGTA